TTTCCCCCTTTTTAAAAACGTTTGTAATGTGCAGATGTTCAAAGCTACTTAGGTCTCTACCAATTGTTCTTGATGCCTTTCTGATCAACTTGTTTATTTTTATGATGTGCTGTGTTCCCAAATTGCTACCATAGCAAGAGATCTTATGTACCATAAAATCAGGGATGTGGTTGAAAAACTCCAGTAAGAATGAGCCAAAAAGTAGCAGTACAAAGGCTGCAGAAAGAGCCAGGAGCCCAGAGACGTGGCAAAAGAGGTGAGGGAGTGGGGGTGGAGGGGATGGGGGTGGCAGAAAGTGGAGACGAAAGCACAGACGACAACACATTGTTAGAGAGCAGGAAAGGATGAGAAAGGAGAACATTTTGGGTAAAGAACATTTTCCGTCGCTATCCGGATTCGAATCCGGGACTTGTTGAAAAGAGGTGAACAATTTAACTTCTTGACCTCGAGAGTCCCTCTCCAAAACAACACCACCCCTTCCCTAAATAACCTATAATGTGTCGATTGAAGAGTAAAACGTGACAGGTCCTTCTAATATTTTCATTACCGTCGGGTGATGACATAGTTTTTCCTCTTTAAGCTTTATAGATTAATTTCAATGTTATGTTTCATTTCATCCTGGCGCTAAATCGATAAGGGTGGAGAACGGAGAATCAATGCCTCGTCTTAGTGGTCGCTGCAATTTTATCAATTTTTCTGTTTCTTTTTTCAGGTCTTCAAGGAGCAGGGAAAAGTACGTTGGCCAAGCAAGTCAGGTAATTGAGCGAGTAATGGTTGCTGCTGTGTGAGTAATTCGGGACGATTGAAGGGTGAAATGACAGGAATATTGTGTAGTTTTGTGCTTCTGTTTTGTGTTTGAGTTTGTTTTATTTCTGTTAGGGTTTGTCGATGTGTGGATATAAATGTTTTTTTTATATTATACTCTAAAGACACACACTATGTATATTCAACAGCCTAAGCAGCTATGTTTTCGAATATCACATTTTGATCTCTTAGTGTAGTTCAATTCTTGAAACACCTTCTGTTAGAATACCTAGATCTAGTTTGAAAGATAACTACATAGCGTTTTAATCCTTCGGTAAATTAATCGTTTATATCCGCCGGTCCTTGCATGCCACGCGATTCAACCGCCAAGGGGCCTGTTTTGCTGCGGCCCGTGGCGAATGGTTGATCAAATCACGCAGATTGACCGGCTTGTTGAGGTTTCCACCGGTAGCGTAGGTGGAGCATCCCACATAATCACGACCTCTGACCTTTCGTAACTGTAGAAGTACAAAGTTCTATCTGACATTTTTGGCCCTTATGAGTTACTTAGACCAATAGGTCAGAAACCGAATTATGTTCTATCTGCTCTATCAAATCGTAAGGTTATTCCGAGTCGTTATCAAGATATTCAAAGAACTGCATTCGAAAAACCTTAGCATGCTGTGAAACTCAAAATATTTGAGGTCAATTGTCTCAAAACAAGGTACTGAGCAGATAGAACTTTGTAATTCTGTGTCGGGGGGGGGGGGGGGGA